ATATATATATATATATATATATATATATATATATATATATATGAGGAAGTCATTATTATAGAGGATGTACTCAGAATTATTAACACAGAGAGGGTGAATCAAAAGGAAGCTATTAAGGGTATTAGTCATTGTGATAGTTAATAAATTAGCATTTCTAGTCTTATAGCATTCACTTGAAATATTAAACAGCAGGATATACTAATGTAATTGTTTTCCTATAAGTAGATTTCTTTTTCTTTCTTTTAGAAATGCCATGGTTTCTATTGTTGTAATGTGATATGCTGAAATAGGTAGAACTTATTTTCAAGACAGGAATAATCATATTTAGGCATCATTAATAAATCTAAAAATAATGATTATAATATCTTCACCATTGGAGATGTTAGGATACAACCTTCAGACTGAGCTGCAATATTGGGAATATTGGGCAGCAACTCTGCTACTATCTTAATGGACTGTGCAATCTGCCTTGTTGCTGTGTTTAGATTAGGACTAACCTTCCAATTAGAATAATTTCTTATCTGTTGTTACATTCACTACCTGCAATTAGTGGTGCACTTCCTTCAATATATGTGGTTGATAAGATAACCAGTCAAATATGTAAGCCATTCACAAATTCTTAACAATTATTTCATTCCAAAAAGAAAAGGAGTAATTTTTCCACTCTAAGAAAAAGATAAAAAGAGATGGAGGGAGGATATGGAAAAAATGAAATTGTGAGGAGTATGTAGTGGCAGATTTGCAAGGAACTGGAGGTGAGAAGGGGGTGAATGATGATCTTAGTACATTGTATTTATGTATAAAAGAGAGTAAATAAAATCTTGAAGGAACAATATTTACAACTGAATGAATAATGTTAAAAACCTAGGACTAGAACATTTTACTGAACAGTTCATTTCTATCTTTTGAGTTTCAAGTGTTCCTATCATTAAATAAGCTGGTGATATATTATGGTATGGAATTGGTGACACTATGGCTGGAAATTTGATGTTCCACTTATTAGATGATGAAATGTGAAATTTCTCAGGGATAAAAGATACATTTAACTGGAAATTTTCTTGCAATTGCTGTTTTCAAAAATTTTTTAATTATTGGTTCCTTCTCTTAATGTCTGTGAAATGCTTATCAATTGCTTTTTCACAAATGGTATTTGTTAAGAGAAGTTTGACTATATATCAGCCATTTCCTGTAGGTGGAGGTTTATGTTACATCTGGTCCCACAGCTATTTAATCCCAAATAATCACACAGTGACTTATATTAATTATTATATTAATTGGCTCAGGCTTCTTATTGGCTAGCCCTCCCTTCATTATTAACTCACTTTTATCAATCTGTGAATCTCCATGTGGTTTTGGCTTACAGGTGATGTCCAAGTATCTTCCTTCCTCAGCAGCTACATGGCATCTCTCCAGCAACTCATTCTCTCTGTTTGTCTTCCCCGAATTCTCTTAGTCTGATAGCCCCACCTATACTTCCTGCCTCTCTACATCCTGTCTGTCCATTGTCCATAATAGTTTTATTCATCAACCAATATGATAAACATATATTCATAACATACAGAAGGACATTCTCTTTCAATTTTCATAACCACAGGCTTTGCCCTGAGCTCTGTGGATTTTCTTGAGGAGCTACTGAAACTTTTCAGTGTGTTTCAAAGCCAACCCCCTTTCTCTCCATGAAGGACTACTTTTATTATTTTTGTTTTTATTTGGGGTTATGTATTTGTTTGTATGAATGCAGGTATCTGAGGAAGAAAATAGAGTGAAAGATGACCTGGACCTAGAATTACAGGGAATTTTGTGAGAAGTCTGACATGGTTGCTGGGAACTGAACTTGGGTCACTGGGAATTCCAGTATACACTCATAACTCCTAAACCATCTTTACATCCTGGGGACTCTTTTAATCCAGAGGAAATAGTTGCACAAAGCAATCTGTGAATCAATGAAGGAATATTTGAAGGGGATTTTCTGACACACCTATAATGCTTTATAACAGAGAATAGAGATTTTAAAGTTGACATCTTACCAAAAGTACAAAGAACCAGGAAAAATTCAACATTACCAGTATAATATTTTACTGACAGAAAACATCGGGGCATCAATTGTTAATCATATAATCTTCAGTGAATACTAACAAGAAAAACAAACCAAGTTAGCTGCACACACATGGCATGTTTAACAGAAGCATTAAGGTTGACATGGAAAGGGAAGCTCTGTCTTTAAATTGGCATTTTCACACCTGATTTGTGAGTTACATAGACTCTTAAGAGTGGTTTCATATTGGCATAGGTAAGCAATGTCATGATGCTACCCATACAGACTTCTAAAAGAAAAAGATGCCATTATGGAAGGTATTATTTTATTATGAAAATAGTGTGATATTAGGAGCTATTTAAATCTGTGCAGGCCCTGCTAAACATATTTTCTGTAGTTAACTAGTTATACAACAAATCCAAAAATCAAATCACTACTTTTGTCATTATGCATCACTGGAAATATTTTCTAGTTTCTAGAGTAATTAAAATTGTCTCTGTACCCATTTTTTTCTGTAAGATTACACCCAATCTCAACATCAACAAACTCACTGTCAACAGCACTCATTTCAGCCACCTTGAAATTGCAATCCTAGCAGCTTTAGCTTGGTCAGCATGTAAGTAAAAGGGATATAGCTTTGTGAATTAAATTTAAAACCCCAGAACTTTGAGATATCCTTTGGCAAGGATAAAGCTACAGAAAACCCCTCTGCACAAATTCCAGAAAATAAGATTTTTTTCTTATCATTAATATTTTTTACTTGTCCACCAAGATTCAAATATATTTTCTTTATTCACTGGAATATGTACAGTGACTCTAATATATTTATTTTTGATGTTCTAATCATTTTGATAGACTGGAAAATGCTTTTTGAAATTTTGTGAAATATAAAGGCAACATGAAACCCTAGCAAAACTAATACAGGTGAAAATTATCAAACAGCTTACTTGCTATGTGCTAGGCACTAAAGATACAGAAATGGAAATTCATTATGCCCTTTTGACACACAGCTCACATGTAAGTCTACAAACAAGGATTACACTACCAATCCGTAATATCTCAGTGATTGGTACCTCAAGATAGATGAACAAATTCTGCTTTATTCAATAAGTTCATGTTTTAATATAATAGTCAAAATCTGTGAAAAATACAAATTAATCATTATTATGTCTGTTTCAGGTACTTAAAATGCTTTATCTCTAACAGAAAGCAATGATAAAAAATAGACAAAGAGATAGCACATGGGTGCTGTCAGGATTAGTCCAGTTAGAGTGAGTGCAGTGTAGAATTGAAAGCCTGGGAGCCTGGGGATGTATGTGCCACCTGTCACTCCCTTTTACCAGCTCTGAACTTGGTCAACTGCTTAGAATATTATTGCACCATTTTTCAATCTCTGCCTGTGGCAGCTTAACATAGTCACGAACACTCTCTTCCATTCCCATTTTACCCCCCCTTTCTTTTCAATTTAAGTTAATATAGACTACCATTTCTGAAGGTAGCCCTGAGGCCAAGGAGAATATTTATATCTGCTGCTACTCAGACAATAACGGAGCCAATAAAGAATGTCATAGATTTTGCACTCTCCCCATTATGTTTCCTGGCTTCCTGTGGGTATTCTATGAAAGACTGTGGGTGTTCTTAATCAAGGAAACATCATATTTCTTTTATCATTCTGTCCTTGTAGTGTTTTCATTTAAACAGATTTCTTGTCAAGTGATACTGAAGTTTCAATAATATTTTCTTTATCCTCTGAAACATGTACAATATCTCTAATAATATAGTATATTCATTTTCAGTATTCAAATAATTTTGATAGACTGGAAAATGCATTTTGAGATTTTCCCTAATATAAAAGCAATATGAAACTCCAGCAAGACAACTGCAGGTAAAATAGCAGGTATCTTTCAAATCTCCAGTGTGAACAGAAGAAAAGCCACTGAGATGTTAAAGCTGGTTCAGTGCCTATGGTTAACTGGATTTCTTACACCTTGGTATAGAGAACTCTTTCTGTCTGTGGGTCCAGGAATCTATAATTCTTGGTGCTTCTAAAACTGACAAATGGTAGGCATACATACATACATACATATATACATACATATATACATAGATACACATAATAGGGAAATTGAATAAAGACAGATTACATACTGAATATGTCTATATAAACACAAAGTAATGACTATTTAAATTGTTTCCACTGAATCATTTAAGAATTAAATATAGGCCAGTGAGGCAGCTCAACTGGATCTAGATGTCAGCTCTTCCCTCCATGTCTAGTTTAGTCAGAATTTTTAGCTGTAGTTGTTACCTAAGTTATTTTTTAGGTGCAAAGCTAATGGGGGACAAAGATAAAAATGGACACTTTGATTTGCTTAATAAAGTTGCAAAACTCAGTATGGTACATGGTATCCCTTTCCAAAAATACTTGACTTAAGTTGGGTGATGATTAAGCTCTTCAGTTAAACTTTCTAGAATGATGCATGAACTATTATTCTGTGATTTTGGGGCAAGCACAACATTAACACAGAGAAACACATATCATTAAGTAGAGTCATTAAGTGACTACACCAGTGACAAACCCTTTATGTGGGCATTCTTTGATTGATGTTGTTCATGAGTGGTTGATCAAAAGATATGCAGGAGAATATTAACAATATTTTCTATTTTGATTTTAATAGTCATACATTTACTCTCATGGAGTAGGCCTTGAGACCAGTCAGAATGCAGTTGGTTTTGTCCTTAAGATGGCTAATATTGATTGTCAACTTGACATACCTAGGAATAGAGAACATCAGTGGAAGAACTGCCTTAGTTGGATCTGCCTGTTCTTATGTCTGTGACACATATTCTTATCTTTACATTTTATGTTTTTATATTTAGAATTACAGCAGTTCTCCCTTCCCTTTCCTCCCTCCAGAGCCTCTTACACAACCCTCCTTACTCTTTCAAATTCATTGCATTTTCTTTCATTAATTGTTATTGCATGCATAATTATTCCTAAATATAGCCTGCTTAGTCTGTATAATGCTACATGTATGCATGTATTCAGTGCTGGCCATTTGGTATTGAATAACCAATTGGTGTGCTGATGTATGCTTTCCTGGGGAACTTCACATCTCCTCTCAGCATTCCTTAGTTGCCTGTAGTTTTTTGTATAGGGTTGAGGCTTTATGGTTTTTCCCCATCTACTTTAATGTGTCTGTTTCTGTTGTCCTTGTTCAGCTCATGTTTGAGGAGTCATGTTAGTATAATTTTATTGCATTATTAAGAGACACAATCTCAGAGCAAATTCTCCAATCTTCTGATTCTTACAGTTGTTAATTCAAGTAAGAAAATCCAACCTATTATTAATGATGTCATCCCCAGAGGGATGGGCCTGGATTGTGAGAAAGGTAATTGAATAAAAACCTGGGAGCAAGCCAGTAATCAGTGTTCTTTTGTTGGATTTTGCTTCAAGGTTGTTGGCTTGGGTTCCTTCTTTGGCTTCTCTCACTGACGGAAGTTAAAATAAATACCTTAGGCTCCACATTACTTTTAGTCATGGTGTTATTACAGCAACTGAGGGTAAACTAAGAGAAAATACCTAGGCTCCGTGTTGAGTTACTGTTGTAATCTGTCTTTGTGGGGCTTCAGTCAGATCCAGCTGACTTTACCCGATCGTATCTGAGAGGGAGAGTGTGAATTGAGAAAACTCAGGTAAAAATGCTACGAAAATGCAGAGACACAGGATAGAGTATGGCAGGCACTCCAGTGAATACTGGAATCCCCAAGTTTATTTTTCAACTTTCTTATATGCGTCGAAAATGGGGGAAAATGGCAAAAGGGGGAAAATGGCAAAAGACATAGCCATGACTTAGACCTTTAGGTCTTATGAATTTAACCTTGGAAAAGTAAGGATAGTTTTGAACTTTCTGACATTAACCCAAAATGAAATGGAGCAATCTTATAGGCCCTGAAAAGTTACTAACCCAGTATATCTCAGTATGATCTGAGAACTCTAATATCTAGAGTGTTTCTGAATGGTGACCATGGTCTACAAAACTATTTTCAAAAGTGAAAAATTGGATGTTAGATTTCATATGCACCGTTTCTTTAAAATTTGAATGAAAAATTATCTGTGTATGTTATTGCACAGATTCTATCTTCTATCTCACTTTTCATAAATGCTTTCATTTTAGTTGCAAAAATGGGGAAAATGTCTTGATTCATCTACTTATGTGTCACTCAAGGTTGTAACACACAGGGTTATGGCCTCACAAGATCCCAAATACTGATGTTGAGAAACCAAGTGACTCTAATTTATTCCTAAATTACTTTTGTGAATAAGAAAACTTGAAAACTTTACTTTTAATAAAATGAGGGGCAAACTAGTGAAGATTCATCTGGAATTAATTTTGTTATATGGATTACTCTGTGAATTCAGACAGGAGGAGTTCAAACTCATTTAGTGACATTGACATAAGACATTTTCCTTCAGTAAGTTGCCATCAAAATGTGTCAGTCTTTATTACAATGCACAAGAATTGTAATAACATGGCAGGTACTGAAACCTGTGTCACTCCAACAAAAGGTGTCCTCTCTTCATAAACAAATGGAACCATCTTAGAAAGGGCAAATCTTTTCACCACCATTATCATTCAATGTGCCTGAAATAGATCTGTATTTATGCTAATATTACAACTATTTTAAAATCCCTACTGAGTTCAGACTACTTGGAATAATGGTTATTACAAATCATTTTCAGAATAATGTTCCAAGGTAGAATAAAATTTGTTAGTACTTAAATTCATTTAGTGACAACAAAGTTAAAAAATTACATAATCATTTATATCTTTAAATTGTTGAAAGAATGACCATCAAGCATAAAATGGCCTAATTAGGTTAGAAGACTGTGAAGTACCAGGAGGTCTGCAATACAAGTTCAGGAGGAACAGAGAACTGTAAAGTTCTTGAAACTTAGTTGTTGTGTTTCTAAAGTGAAAGTCAGATACATCCATATTTGCACAGATAAGCACATAATGTGACACTTTGATTTTTTATGTGTTAAAGTGTGTAGCAAATGATGTTGATAATTAGATAGATTTTAAGTGATTTTATAGTTATACAAATATGCTTGAATATTCATCTGATTTAAAATCCTTACTTTTCTCAAAAATAGTATTTTCTGTCTTGTAACAGAATATGTCCTTAAAAAGTAGATCACATAGGATGATCTTGAATTAACATTTCTTACAAAACAAAGTCTGAATACCTTATGAAAGCTTAGTATATACTCTACAAACTATAAAAAGAAGGTAGAAAGATCTCAGTTGAATAAGAAAATTAACTAGTTACACATATAGGAAACAGTATTCTGGGAGAGATGCTTGGAGAAGCTTTTATCCTTAAAGAGTCCCAGATAAATGTGAAATAATGATAGTACAACATTTTAAGTGAAATCATGATAGTACAACAACAATAAAATTTACACATGGGAAAATTATGTCACTCCTATACTTATAAAGATTCTTGTCAGGAAACCCAGTGAAAGTACGAGAAGAAAGTGTGACAGAATCAGCAGACCACAGAAGAGTGCTGTGAGAGTGTGTCTCCTAGTAATAACAGAAGTTACACCCATAAAGTCTCATCAATCTGACTGCCCAAGTTTTCCCTGAACAAGGACTACACCTATGGATGCATGGAAGTGGGTAGGAAAAATCCCAAAAGGCCTCAACACAACACAAAGAACTGTGGGCAAGTGAGGAAACTGAGAGCAGGAGAGGCAGTCTTCCTGAGGGAATAACATCACAATTGGTTATCCAATTACAAATGACCAGCCCTAAAAACATACAAACATAAATACATACATGCATGCATACATACATACATACAGGTAAAATTATATGAACTCAGTGG